GCGGTGCAGGAAGGGCGGAGGAGCCGGTGTTCGTCCTCCCGCCCCGCCGCGCTTTCCTATTCTACAGCAGCACCGCAGACCCCTTCCTCACCCGCTAAATAAACCCCAGGCACTGAAGAGCCCCGGGGCCTCGCTGCTAACCCCGCTTCTCGGTCCTGCCTTTCGAAGGGTCAAGCAGCAGAGAGCACCTCCAGCCCAGGCCGGAGCTGAACAGCAGCTTTGTTTTCTTTAATAATCATTCAGGACGAGAATACAATAGCAAAGGCACTCCCTGGAGTGGTTGTAACGCTTCCAGAAACAAGGCAGCTGAGCTCAAGGCGGCTGGAGTTTTGATACGAGCCTCAGAGCGTGGTAGGTAACCCAGTTGGTTATCTGTAGATAACACAGTCGGTCTGTAAGTCACTTAGGGCCTGAATAAACCAACCCAAATATTCCCCTTCCTCCCACTCCACAAACCCAGGGCAGATCCCCTGCTGCCCCCCTCAAATCCTGGGGCTCTGCCGATCCTCGTTGCGACGCTCGAGCTCAGGTTTCTGTATCGATTTTAAAGGCATCAGCAGAGCGTTGGAAACTCCCAGCGGGGTTCAGCGCGTTCACCCGCCAACGCCAAACACGTTTAAAACAGAAAGCGCAGCTCACGCGTGGACGTCGCACCAGTTTCTCTAGGGCTTGACCTATGGGGTAGTTGCTGGACAGCTTCAGGGGGAGCATCGCAGTATTGCTGTCGGTGACTTTGGGGGGGGAATTTATGTCATACCCACAGCAGCAGATCTTGAGGATGGAGCCTGGAAAGTTTCTCTGCAGACAGAGGAATCAAACGCACTTTAAAGGCTTGCAGAAACTTGAAAAAAAGCCTGAGAAGCTGAGATTCCCTCTGTGGGTAACGCTTGCGGGCGGGGAGGGAAAGAGGTTGGAGGACAGCGGCTAAGATCAGAATGGGTTGACTAATTTTGAGGCCATTAGTACACGAAGGAAAGCAGCTGTCGTTTAGGTAGTTAAAGAGAAAGCGGAAAATAATACGAAAGAGTTAACAAGGGGAAACCATGGTGCAAACGTGGTACTTCACTGCAATTAATTCAGTGGATAGAGCCCGGGACTCCCACCCTTCAGCCGCCCCCGCGCAGGAAAAACGCTGGCGCAGCGCTCGGCGGTGCGGACGTGGCACGGGCGTCCCAAGCCGCTCACAGGCCCCACGCAATGAGTGGCAGTTGGTGTCCCACATCCCAGAGAACCGGCGGGAATAAAGTACTAAATGGGTTGGACAGCGTGTTAAATAGGCAAGAGAGATATGGCGAAGGTATCGCCTCTCCCAGGTTATTTATCTTTTAGCTAAAAAATAGGTTCGAGCTGTGGTAACACAACACGTCTTGCCCAACGGTCAAAGACAAAACCAGTCCCAACGCTCTGAAGCCGGTCGCATCGTGCGGGGCTGCTGCCGTGCAGCGTGGTGCGAGTAGGGCCCATACCCACACCGGATCCTGTTCCAGGCTTTTGTCGGACTAAAGAGCTCCGGAGCGAGGAAGCTCTGTTTGGCCCATCTTGCGGGCGACAGCTCTCCCATTCCGACAACGTAGGAGGCAGTTCCTGGTTACAAGAACTAGGAACTTCCTATGAACATTATTCATCTCTCTCTACATGGCAAGAAGTCCAGAAGAAAAACAATAAACTAACAAAAAAAATGAAGGCTCGGCTGTGTCATACTCTATAAATATTTCTGAGCCACCATAAAAAAAAAAAAAAAAAAAAAAAGAGTAAGAAAAGTAGTTCCTATGTTGTAACAATGACACGCTTCAGACCCTTAAAAACCAACCTAGTATTTAACCTGAGCTCTCAGCTATAAAAATAGTTTTGTTAATCTTGGCACAGATCTATGTTTTATTTCCAGATAAAATACATACGCCCGCATAGCCACATCTTTTTGCCACTTGTGAGTCTTTCAAACACTCAGAGAACCATGGAAAAAAATCAGGTAACTTTCCGCTGTAGCTGACAGGTTGATGATCTTCAGTTCTCAAAATTAATTCTCTGTTGGAAACTTCTTCATGCAGAAAAAAAAAAAGGATTTGTATTAAAAGACAGGAAAATTTCCTCTAAAATATATTAAGCAATCACACGTGACAATTTACTACATAAATGTTCACACTGCAAAATTAAAAATACAGAATAAAAATATGAAGAAAGGTAAACGCAGCACTTCACAGGAAGACAAGTCCCAGGGACACCACTGGAGTGTTTCGAAATAAAACCTTCCCAGTTTGTTTTGCGAAAAGGAGTGATCTTTGTGCCCTCGGCCAGCCACTGAGTCACTGTTTACGAGCAGTGGCACATGCTACCGTGTCCAAAACGGAATGCATCCTTTTAGTCACTGCTTTCCTCCTTTGTTCTTCAACTCTCCCCCACCCAACCTCTCTCTAAAGGAAACACAACGGACTGATGAAAATGGCTAAATCGCTGTCGGCTCGTTAGGAAATTAACTCGATGGTTATCAGCGCACCTGCCCGCAAACGATTGCAAAGCAATTAAAAACAAAACAAACCCAAGCGAATCAATTCAACCACTTCTCTTTACGAAATTCACCAACATTAGGTTATCTCTGGACCTGCCCTCGACTCTGCAAAAGCTGCTTCGGATTTACCTGATCACGGCGATTCAGTGCGTTTTAATAAAGGAAGAAAATAAGAATTAAGCAGCGGCCAGGGACTGGCAGAGTCACTGATTCCTGTCGCGGATCTACAGTGAACTGCGGGTACGTTTGTTCCACCAGCTCTTTCTCACTTGAAGCAAACGAGATTATTTCTGTAGGCTCAGCGCACGCTTCCCGCTTTGCTGTATCAGCATGGTGCTCAGCAATTTTGGGGATTTGCTCCTGAAACTTTCGAGCATCAGTAGTTTCAGGATGCAAGTCACAGTGCTGGCTTCCATCTAGAAAACCTCCAGCTTCTATTGCCTTCGGGCTCTTTTCAGGAAAAGAAGAGCTGCCCACACAGGAACAGCACAGGGAGCCTGGCATTCCAGCGACTCAGCAGCCATTTCCTACGAGAGCCCCACCAGCGGGCGCCAAGCAAACCCAACTGGTTTTGAAAGAAGACTTGAGTGTCTCTGGACTTAATGCAGAAACAGCAGAACAGGAGGGTGCTACAAGCCAGCCCCGCTCCCCAGGGGCGCCGAGGGTTTGGCTCCACAGGGGCGAAACAGCTCAGGGACCGCGTTTGAATACACTGAGAGAGGAACCGAGCACCAGCTCCCCGCTGGATCGAAGCTGATCCGCACGAGAAAGCCAGCACTGCATGGCTTTGCTCTCCGGCTCGCTGCGTACTAACTTCCCTTTGCAGATGTGTGCTTGGGTTGTGTCAGCACTGGAAGATTTCTTTTTTATTTGTCCATTTTTCCCCCTGTTGCTGCTAGCTCTTACTCAGTTTCATGCGGTGGTCGGTATTTTAACAGTATCTGGTTACTCTTTTGTCCTCAGAACCAGACAACATGGTGCCTACTGCAAGGATCCAATTCACATTAGTAGAACAAATAATCAGAGACTGAGAAATTTCTTGATTCAAAAAGAAAAAAACAATCTGCTATGGGCAAGGCTGCTTTTTATATTCTGAAACAGCTCTATTCAATACACTCCACTTTTGCTGAGCCCAGGAACAATATGCTAACGCAGCCCTTGGCCGTGGCACTGAAGAACACTTCCCAATCTCTTACTCAACAATGTTCCTACCCTTGATCCTGTTATCTGTAACCCACAGAAGGATTTTAGCTACAATAGTGCTGTGCAGGTACTCGGGAGTGGAGCTGCAAGATCTGACTGCCTGGAGGATGAGGAACGTGCCTGAGAAAAGTTTAATTATTTGACTAAAGGAATGACTTGCTGCCTCAATAGCTGTTTGCTGTTACAGCACTCACAAGAGTTTTACTGGAAATGCATCCAGAGCAGTGCACTTAGAATCTTGTGCCAGGCTCACCTCAGAAGTCTGTAACTTGTATTAATACTGCAGATGCATTTATAAAGAGGGAAACAGACAAACAAACAAAAACAACCCAAAAAACCCTCAGGTTGAAAACATCATAGAGAAAAGAATGGGAGCTCAGCATCTCTTTCTTCTGCAGCAGATAACTGGGTTCTGTGAAGAGCTTCTGCAAGTTCTGTTGTCTATATGGTAATGCAAAAAGGTGATGTGGAAATCAAAGAACTCAGATAACCAGAATTACAGAGCTGCCAGGTTCAAGCCCCTGAGCAGCAAGGATGCACTTTTTAACCCCCTCTTCTCCTCCCTCCCCAAGCAGGGCACAGAATCCATCCGGTACAAATTCTTACTGGTTAAACTCTAAGGGTTATTTTTGATATACATCATGTTTTAAAGCACGGTTTAAAACAGCGGCAGGTAAACCTGGTTTTAAGCAGGGATTAGGTGGCCTGCATAGGTTAACTAAAACACGCTCGATGAGTTTTTGCCCAGAACTGCTCTGAAAGCAGATCAAAGTTCTACAGATGTGGTTCAGGAGCTACCCCCTGAGCCAGTAAACACCAGCCTGCTTTATTTTCTCTTCACTAAAGCAACCATTCCAAACGAGAGGCCAGCTCCCAAGCCCCAAAAGGCAGTTTCAGGTTCTAAAGCAAGAGTCACGCTCCCTACGGAAGGACAGCCAGTTGGGCCGAGCTGTGACGTGCCAACCAGTAAGCAGGAGCCAGACAGCTGATGGGGCTGGGCAAGAGCCACAAGCAACCACTGTCTTGCAGAGAGCTTTTCAGGAATCCCTCCTACAAGACAGCCTTTGCAAAAGACTACACTGCTGCTGTCTCTCACGCTGAATGAAATCCTGCAGATGAAGTTCTGAACAAAATACTCTTTCAGTTCAGGCAGACGCTGGCAGACAACCTTTATCCTCTGGCGGTCAGTCCCAGCACAGCTAAGGTTTTATGGTTCTGAATGTTATCAAAATTGCTGTGTCTGTTACTGACAGTAACATTGTTCTGGTCAGGTTCATTTAAGGGTACAAGGAGTGCAATGTTTTTAGAGAGAGGGAATACCTTTCAGGAGAAAGCTGAGGTTTCAGCAGGCAGCCTTCTCATTAGGAGTCTGCTTTAAAATCAAAAGCCTAAATTCTCCCTTTGTGGTATATATTAGCACAAGTTCACTTATTTCTAGTGAGAAGCGGTACAATCTCCTTGTCAAACAAGGCAGAAATTCTTAAGGATATTTATGAAGACAAACAAATGACTCCTTCTCATTGCCCACATAATCAAGACAGAAACTCCCATTCATGCTCACAAAATAGATTGCCAGGACAGCTTTACACAGGTTATTTTCTTTGACCATGAGCATGTCCTCTGACCCTGACAACAAAGGGACTAAAACTATCAGCCCACAAAACCTACAGTTATTTAAGCTGAGAGTCTGGTTTAAGTTCATATACAAAACTATTCTGTGTATCACCTATTTCCTATAGTGTCCTCCTTTCCACAGATACACCTACCATAACAAACCAGGTCTGAACATAAGTCATACTTGAGTTTGCTTTTTTCTAGACCTCCTACAGCTTGCTCCAAAATGACTTCTTCCTTCCATCTGTTTAGACACATGCAAAAGTCAAATCATGCCATGACCCTGAGGAGTCATAAAGAATCCTACAAAAAAATCCCAGCGCTTCACGCTAAGGCACGCAGGAATTTTCTCTTTAGCACAGCAGGAGAGGTGCAGGTCAGGTGTAAAGGAAAGGATGTTCACAGTCACTATTCCTGGCCACCTAAATCTAGTCACGGGAGAGCAAAATATACCGTGTTAACGTGGATGCTGTGTGGACTGCAGCGAGGGCTCGCGTGGAGGAGAGCGCTAAGCTCCAGATCAGCAACCATCTGTCGAGACTCGGCCAGTGCACACTGCAGCGTACTTGTGGGGGAAACGGTGTCCTGAAGGAGACCGAAAGGGAGCCAAAGTTATGAAAAGATCTTGTTTGGGAAATGTCAAAGGATTAGGACGTACCGAGAATCATCGCTTTCGTTTTGAAATGTCTCAGTTCAAAATACTACACAACACGACCCTGCTCCATGGCTAAATGCTGGTGTTTCTAACAAACACGGAGGTCTTTCCTGGTGTCAGCTTTTTAACAGATCTCCACGTGCCTGCATACGTGGTGCACACAACAGCAGTACTTCAGTGATAAAAGGGAGAATAAACAAAGACACGAGAAAGAGGGAAAACCAGGCAGAACGAGAAGGAAACAGTGTCCAATAGCTTCTAACAACTGTGTCCAAGTGTGCTCAGATACTGTACTTGACTGGAATGGCCAACTAGCCAGTATCCACTATTCTAAAGCCTTTCACTTCAAAAGCTTAGATTTGTGTGTGTTTTTTTAACTCATTCTGTCCAAGACATACTGAGACAACAAGGAATTACTCTGAAAAAATATTTTACCACCTTTGCTTCAAGCCTGCTGTCTCAACTGATAGTCCCTAGTTCTTCCTAGGGCAGACATTTGCTTTGCTACCTCCCTCACAACTCCCCTTAAAATTAATGAAGTACATTCTGCGAGAAAATACTGACTTGGTCTGTGGTAGCATTGCAGCATCTATTTGTTGGCTTAGTCACTGAAAGGTCATTGCTCTCCAGAGGGAAGTCTTCATCAGAGAATTCCTCACATCTTTGAGACCTGTCTCCTTTCTGGGTGGATGTCAAACAGGGCGAATGCAAGTGAAACAAACTCAGATCCACATTTTCTTCACTGTTAAAAAAAATGAAGACATTGCCAGAAACAGTATCACCATCCTTTTTAAACTTTCAAAGGAAAATCATGGGACAATATAAATAACTGTGGGCCCTGAGCCAAGAAAACCAGCAAGCCTGTGGGATACTCTGTTCCTCAGAGTGGTTCCCGTGTTTAACGGTTTCATTAGATCACTTTCATCCTCTGAGGGTAACAGTTTGACATTCAACCTGTTTCAAGAACAGCTACATTACCATGTGCTCGAGTATCTGTTTAACCTTGCAAAGAGCACACAAAAGGCAGTATCTAGTTCCTCCCAGTACTCTGGTACACTTTCTTCTCTCCCCCCCCTCCTTTTTTTTTTTTTTAATCAACCATTAGGCAATTAATATTTGTAGGTGCACTTTCCAAGGGAATTTTCATAGTCTTTTAAAGTCATCATCTCACTTCAGAGGTCACAGGAGAGCTTGCCCAAAGAGGCTTTATTTTATTTATTTTTAAATACAGCGGCAAACAGTAAAGTGCTGTTCAGGCAAACTGTGATTAAACCCAAACATCAGTTCCCTGGCTGCCATTTCAGTGTGGAGTTGAAGCACTCAATCCATTGGCATTCAACTTCCCCCAGGTTTTAAAGCAAAAAAACCCATTAATTTAACACTGGGTATATCTGAGTGTATTTAGGAATATCTGAAAAGCAATTTAAATGCCGGTTAAAGCAACAAGTCATACCTTGCACATCATTGCTGTCTGAACACTGACTCACAGCCATCCCAAGCTTGTCCTAATGCAAAAGGTCTTTAGCTTTTAATATGTGTGTGACACTTTTCTCTTACACCTTTTCCACACTAGAAGTTAACTTTATTACAGCCTACCTTAGAGGAAAGCAGTTCTCCATTTCAATTCCTTAAATCACAGTTTTATCAAAATGTACCAAGTCCCTCACTCAGCTCCAGCACCGATTAATCACAAATTAAGCTAGAAATAATAAAAGCTGTAGCACGTTTGCAATTATCTTGATCAGCTACTCCAGCAGCACCCTGAGCCCTCTGCCCCCTGTGCTGCGTTTTCACACAGCACCAAGCGCTGTCTGCAGCTTGTGCAAAGACGTGCCCCGGTCTCTGCTGGCAGCTTCAAGCTATGCAGTGAATTTCATTTTCAACTGCTAATTTCCACTTCATACAGTTTTTAAAAAGTAAATAAAATAGCGACCATCTCCCCAAAATACAACATTTCTGTATTCATCACACTCCTGAATAGAACAGAAGCACAACGCTAGCACTGCCTGGATTGGTTAAATAATTTAAAAAATACATATATTTTAAAGACATTACTGTCTTCAAACGTACAACACTTCATTAAATCTTTTTGAGATACCTATTGTGGTGGAACGACACCTTCCATACGTGGCAAGACTGTTACAAAAAAGGTTTATTTTAAAATGACGTTCAATCTAAGAAAAAGCCCTTGAGAGAGATGCCAGCCCAGAAGTGTCTGCTGTGTCTCATTTCACTGCTCTTGTAAACCACTGGGATACCACAGGCTCTCTTTTAAGAGAGAAAAGCTCATGTTTATATGCTTCTGACAAGGAAAGGCTCTGGAGAGATGTGAGGGAACAAGCTGCAGCAGCCTGAAACAGGGGATGTGAGGAGCTACAATGAGCACAGCCAGTTTTGAAGAATACACAGGCTGGGAGGGAGGGGGGGAAACAGGTTTGATTTTGAGGCAAGGAGACGGCTTGAGGAACAGGTGGCTTCGTCCAGCAGGAGCAGACTGAACAAGGAACTGCTGACGCTCCGTCTTTAAAACCAGAACTGAGATAAAAATCTAAAGGCAGCAAATGTTGGTCCAACATAAATGAAGTCACAAAGTCAGAGCACACAGAACCAATTCCCGCACTGCAGGATTTCACAATCACTCTTGCAGTTGGAGAAGGTATTTAACTGCCTTAATAACCTTCTTGTTGGCTGTTCCAGAATTCAGGAACTCATGTCAAAAATATTTGCTGGGCTGACAGGGAGGTGCCAGCACCCTTCCCCACACACAAAATACATCATCAGCACTACGAAGCCAGCCATGGAAAACTGGAGGATCCAGATTCAAGTCCCAGAAGGAATGTTGTGTTTGGTCTCTGCCATTAATGCCTCAACAGAAGCCCACACTGAAAACTGCAATACTACTGCCTTCCTCTTATTTATGGGGTGAGAATCTACTCAGTGCCAAATCACAGTCAGCAGAGGCTGGAGAGCAGAGGCTGGGATTTGCACCGAGTCCATCCGTTCCCAGTTAGGAGCAGAGCTCCTAGGACCAAGCGTGGGCATCAAGAAAACTTGATAGCTCAGCAGCCCTCCCTTACTGAAGGGAATCTCATCTATCTGCATTGCTCCGGTTGATTTTGCTCCTTCTCCCCTAAAATCCCCTTAAGGACAAGACAAAAAGTGAAAGCAGTTTTCACAATTCAGCCTCCAAAGAGCTTTGGAGGGATGGTAGTGTGTCATTTGTGCTGCTGGGGGAGTAGATAAGAAAGGTCAGGCCAGACATGAGGGGAATGGAGTCTTTTTAATGATTTATGGACAGTGTAAACTAAAGAGTCCACACACAGCACGAAGCTCCGCTAAGCTGGGTGGGAATGTGCCGGGACAGCATTCTTTTTCAACGGCTGCCCATTCACCTTGTCCCTGAACAGGTCTGTCTCCCTGCAGCAACCATTTCTATGATTTTTTTGTTTTAAAAGCAACACAGAATGAAAGCATCCGTGCATCGGATGTTTCCATTCCATAACGTTGATTTGTTTGGACGTTGGGCAGACTTGCTGGCGAAAATCCTTAGCAGGTTTAAACAGCTGTTTGTTTACCGTACTTGTCAAACTGCCAGCTGAAAAGCTACTCCCCCCTTCTCTGTCTAAAAGGCAGCTATGAAATCTCTGTAAAACTTCAGAAAACCTACTAAAATAGAGCTGCTAAGCCAGTCAATTTTTTGAAAGGAAACAGAGGAACCAACACAACAAATCCACAGAAAGCCACAGCTCTGAAAGCCCTCGCTTGTGCGGGCGTAAAACCACTTCTATAAATGCGAAGCAGCGTTTGTATCTCGGACATCTTCCAACACCACTAGGACACCTGAGTATTTTTCCAACACTCCTCAGCATTAGAAACCTCATTCTGCTCATCCCACGTGTCCTTTCCTCCTCCCCCAACATAAACACAGGGATCGACTCCCACGAACAAAGACACTGGAGAGTGGACAGATTGCTGCCCTTTAAATCTTGCCATCTCGTTTTCTTGCCCCGAGTGAGGAAATCAGCCTGTGCGGAAGAGCCGTGTCCTACATTCTCGCCCAGCCACTGTGTGATTTCTCAACAGAAATAACACAGTCACTAAAGCATCACACAAAATCTAGGTTCGTTTCTCGCCCTACAGAAACATCACTGTACAAGTCCAACTCTGGTCAGAACATATTTTACCCACCAGCTTTACAAGTAACATCTGGGATTTCAAAAAAAACGTAATATTTTTTAAATCTACGCTTTTCTCAATTAGTTTATTTGGCAAGTTATGTGGTATTACAGCTTCTCCCACCCACGCAGCTCTTGGGGAGAAGAGATCCAAAACATAAATGCATAAAAATAGAATCATGATACCTTAGAGCTATTTTAACTTATTTCAAATTTACTACTTTTCAAGCTGCCAGACGAATTTTAAGACAGCAGTTTCTTTAAACATCACTTGAGATACAAATAATTGAAAGCTTGTACACCTGGGTTTCTACATGACTCCAGCTTGTACCTATCTATTTCTTATATGGAACAAGCACATAACCTTTTTGAGCTGGCACATTTCATCTCCTGTGAAGTCTTGAGGCAGCTGCAACCTTTTCCATGCCATATTCTTTCATGCCTTTTTATGGGTTTGAAAATCTCCAGCCATTCTGGATCTGATATTGGCTTCCTCCACGCATCTTCTTTGACGATGAAGTTATTACTACAGGAATCAGATTCAGACCTGTGTTAGCAGGAATCTCTCTGCTTGTTTGGTCAAACAGCCTTCCAGTTCTCTCTTCCCAGGTTTTATTTTCAGTATCAGTTTTGTCAGACATGGTGGTGTTCTGGGCCAAAGTACTTTGCAAATCTACACAAGAACCGGTGTTGAACCAATGCTCACACTCAGGTAAAGATGACTCAAAGGTTTGTTGGTCTCTGCTTTCCACTCTGTTCTCAGAAATTTCCCTGTTTCTCAATGGCTTTGTGCTGATTGCCTCACAAAATACTCTGCTGCCTAGCTCATTAGAGCTTGACGCAACATCCGGCTTTTCTTCTTCCGTAAGGACAGCCAAGACTTTCACAACTTTTTGATGCGGGTTTAAGTACGCTGAGGTAGTTTCCTCCAAGGCTGATGCATTCAGTAACAGACCATTATCTACTCCACACATCTCAGAGGTGGTTTTTACTCTGCTTTTTGGAACTTGTGCAGTTCCACAGTCCTCGCGTATCCCGTGGGTGCCCTGAGTCCTAACTGTGTCTGTCTCGCTGTTACTTTCAGGGGCAGAGAATGCCATACCTGTGCTAAAATGCCATGATAAAGAAAACAGTCAGAAATATTTCATTTTAAAAACATATGTAGCTATACTTAAGGTTAAAGCTATACATTAACCAGAGGCTGGAATCACGGTTCTGTGGTAGTTCATATGCCAAGGGGCAGCTGCATCCTGCTACAACCCAACAAAAGCCTGCCCAGGTTTGGCTGTTACTTTCCAAATCAGACTGAGAGTTCCCTCAGTTCCCTCCCTTTATATAGCGTGGTTTTTCTGTCTGAACCTCCAGGGTGTGCATCAGCTTCCTAACTTGAAAGCAAAATAAAGTTTGTTTCTTGAACAGAAGCAGTAGCAGGCCAGATTAACACCCCTACCACCAGACTATTCCACTTTTTAAAAAAATCATTAACTGTCTGGCCTGTATACAACGCTTTATTCTGTCACTGATACTTTGGGTGCCTCCTGAACGAGTGAAAAAAGGTACCAGACAACTTCACTGGATGTTTGTGGTCGAGTCCAGCAAAGCCATCTTGACACAGCACACGCCTCCTTCAGGATGTTAGCTGTGGCTGAACAGTGAAGTCTCTCTCTGAGAATAAACTACTCAAAAAAAAAAAAAAAAAATCACTTTACCTCCTTTCATGAGCTGCCTTTTCATGCTTTTGCCTTAATTCCTGAGAGCTCCCCAAACTGACATGAAGAAATTGCAAGTCACGCTGCTGTTTCACGTAGATCTGTTTAAAGATAGTAATGCGCATTAGTGAAAGTCTGGAGTGCAAGAACATTGCCATCAACTAATACACTGCTTGTCTTCCAAAAATATCCTTAAAACATTTTTACAAACCAATACCTGCAGTTAAACTATTGTCAAAGCCTTCCAGTCTAAGGGGCTATCTCTACATATACTTAGGAAAACAATATTTTGTGGCAATAAACAGTATCTCCATTAGAAGACTGCAGTGGTCTAAAAAGGAACCATAATGAACCCTAAATACAATATCATTATTGATATTTAATATTTAATACACGTTGTTATTATGTTGTATGAAGTTACACAGAATTACAGGAGATGGAATGATCATCGTGGTATTTGGCTTTCACTGCAGGGGGTCTTTTGTAAAGCAAATGTAGAAGATAACGCACGGGTCAGTTATTTGCAATGGAAAAAATTGAATGTGCCTTGAGAACCTCAAACAAGTGCAGGTGAAAACACCGGTTTTAAGTGTCTCTTGAAAAACAGATCTTCCAGCCCACCGTGCCCCTTTACGCTGCATGTTCACCCTGGGCACGGGCACGCAGCCCGCCCCGCACCCACCGCCTGCCACGTGCCTTCTCGAGCCCAGCACTCGCTGGTGACACACGCACTGACCAACTGTTATCTCAACACCGTGCCCCGCTTTGCTGCTACGAGGGTGGTATTTACTCATTGTAGGATCAAGCAAATACAATTAGACAAAAAAGGCTAAAAGCACATGTAAATACAAGGATTTGTACCATGGGGTTTTAATTTTAACAAAAAAAAACCCCAACAAAAAAAAATATCCTTCTATAGGGATCCCAGGAGGCAGAAACAGCAAATAAGATTTTTTTCTTAATTAAGAATAGGTACATCCAACTTTTTTTATAGTGTTCCATGCAGATTTGATGTAATCTCAGAGTAGACACACAATTAGGGTTGTACCTGTCGCAAACTTGATAGCTCTGCGTCAGTCCGTGCTTGTTTAGACTTGGCAAACTGAAGGAGTTGATCCTTTAACTTTGCTTTCTCAACTGTTTCAAAACACATACAACTTTTTAATTACTTACAGTGAACAGGCACAAAGCAAGTACATTTGTTAACAGCAGTAGAAACAGGTACCCAACCAAACCACAAGCATTTTCTTCAGATGAACAGGATCTGTTTCCTCTCCAAATAAAAAGAGCTCAAATACCATACGACAACTAAACAGATCAAGTATTTTCCTCGGACTTTGCACCAGCACCTAGCTTTATTTTACTAGCAGCAATAGTCTACTCCATTAAGTGATTTATTTTACTTTTTCATGTTAACATTCTTCCATGGAAAGGAAATTCAGAAATTAATTCTAATTCATGCCTCGTACAGGGAAGTGCTGGGAAATACTTCCCATTACTACTGCTTCTAAAATAACAAGACATGGGATCAACATTCAGCAAAGGTAATGGCACATAAAAAGGGACAGGCAAGTAAATCATCTCACAGCCGAGGACATCTTTGCTCACCTCATCTTTCAAGGTATATTTCAAGGTAGGAACACTGCAGCAACAATCAGCCTGCCTTTCCTACCCACGGCAATACAGAAGAGTTTCTCTCTACCCAAAACCAGAGTGAAGCTATCAACAGACAGCAAGCTGCAGTTTGCCAAGTCCCACGTATTAAACCATCTAAACCAAACCCATCCGTTCAAGAAAAAACAAAAGAAATAGTGAATTTGTAAACATATTTCTTCCATACAAACACTGGAGAGAGTGAATGGGCTGGTAATTTCATAGGGCCTAAGCTTTAGGTTTTGCACATGGCTTCTTTTCAGTAGGTCACTATTTTCTAGGCAACCTATGTCAGAAGGAAGAATGCTGCCCCCATTTACGGTACCAATACTGGAGGAGACATTAAAGACTCAAAAGTTTTCAAGGGAGAATCCTCTGAGCCATTCACTCCTCCATGTGTAATCTTACTGGTGAGCTTCGTGTTTTTACAGGACTTTCTAAACTGTTCCTGCAGAAGCCCTAGATACTGCTTTCATAGAAGAACGACACACAAAGGCACGTACCTTTATTAAACTGCAAGAGAGGTAGATAGGAAGCTGCCTCCTTCACAGATATTAGTGAACTGTTGCTGTCTAGAAGTCTCTGAGCTGTTGAAAGCAAAGGCGTGAAAATCCAACTGCCCACACTTACCAGTAAGTGCGAGCTCATTCCTCAAGCAGTCATTTTCTTGTTTGAGGTGAATGATTTCTTCCTGCTGGTTATTATTTTCTTTCACCTTTTCACAGAGGTCATCTTTAAAACAAAATGTAGTTTTTCCCAGAATGGAGGGGAATCATGCTGGTCTGCACTGAATTAGGTGCCCAGTATAAACATTTACCTTTCAGCTTATTTGTTTCAAGTACTAGTTCTTTAAGTCTCAGCTGGAGGTCTTGGTTTGCTTTGTTGAGACTGAGTTCCTCCATCTTGGCTTCACGCAATGCACTTTCCAGCTCTTTGAATTTCAATTTAAACTCGGTAATGTCATCGGTTGTTTCAAGTATGACCTCATCCTGAAATACAAAATAGAATGTATTCTTGATTATTGTTTTATCTTCACATACAGATTCTGACAAAACAACAGTACATCCTACTGCAGTAGGTACAGCTACTTCACAGATTTTCTTCTGAGCTCTTGAGGAAAAAAAAAAAAAATCAAAGCCAGGAAACAAGCTTGTTTATGAAAATAAACCAGTTTATTGTGTGTTAAACATTTTTTCCTTCTCAAACAAGCCTAAGAATTACAAAGCAGTGAGATCAATGGTTATTAAACCACTGTGGTACATCACCAAGAACTGCAGTTTGATCACATTTAGTGCCTGATGAGATGACAGATGTTACCTTCAGCTTAAGCATAGTAAGAAGCTCCTGTTCCCTCACTTGCAGCTGGCCTGTTTTAGCAGACAGTTCCAAAACTGAGTAGAGGAGACTTTGATTTTTCTCCTACTGAACAGAAATAAGAGTGTCAGCTACTACTTCAGTGATTCAAAGTTACTATTTTTCCAGTACACATGTGCACGACTTTATTTAAACATCACGAATGGCAATGCAGCATTCTGAGGAAGCTGTGAGGATCTGCAGAAAAAAGGACTGGAGTAAAAATTGTTCCCCAATCTGTTACAACCAAACTTGCTTGCAATCAAGGGTCTTAATATCCTGCGTGTCTTAAGCCAAGCCGATTAGACAGATGAAAGCGCACAACACCGCTCTACTGTATTGCATGCAGGGGAAAAATTATCCAAATAAACACATCGTTGCCAAATCACTTTTAAAAATATCTAGAACCCTTGAATATCAATTATTTTCACATCCTTAAAACGTTTTCAGAATGTTACAGGTCATCATAGTAATCAAAGCTGTAAATAGCACCGTCTGGAACTTCCTAGCCAAGTACCAGCGCTGTTCTGGGGGCTGGCACTGCCTTTTGCAATTGCAGCACCTGACATTCTTGGAGGCAAGTTGCTTCTGAGCAGTGTTCCCCAAAACTAAGCAAACAAACAGCAAACTCCAAATCCCAGTTTAGGAAAGCTTTTTTTGCCCTTTCTGCCCCCTCCCCGCCCCCCCCCAAAGGAATCAGAGCTGTACCTTAATCTATCATTACTGCGCTAAAAGACAAATGCAGTTCAGGAGCCTCAATATGAAACACTCATTCACCAGTGAACTCACAAATGCCACTGGTACATGCATGGAATGCAAAATCAGACCATTACTCAACTCCTACCTCCAGAGCCTGACAGTAAAGAGTTTTATATGTTACTTTTCGAGACATCTCCTTAAACACCTGTTGTGTCAGCACCAGTGATTTTATAATTTCATTTCTCTTGTTCAGCTCATCTGAAAAGAGACAAGGCATCTGTGAGAAATCATCTCAGATACTGTCATGCAATTGTTTAAATCTCAGAAATAATTTAATCCAATGTTTTAAGATCGTGCGATTCAGAAATGGATGCTCGAGTTGCATACTCTGAAGCAGATTCCCTAGCCACCCAGGCCGGATGGAACCGAACTCCGTGCTGACCTCCATCCCACAGCCGTCAAACGAGGCTGTTCAGAGCTGCCAGGTGATCAGCTGGGTGGCTCACGGATGGTGTCAGAGCTGTGCAGCAGAACCTCAGGGCACCGGGCTCTGCAGCACTCCAGCATGTTTGCAAATTGTTTTCCCCCACGCTTATTTAATCAGGTGGTGGTTTTTCTGAAGAATCCATAAAGCAATTTACATATTCAAACGAGAAAGAGCTATCTGATTATCATATGCCCTTCAAGATCAGGTCACTTCAGTACTATTGTGGAAGTTTTGATCTCAGAAAGAAGACAACCAAATTTAAGGCTGGAGGGTAGGAAATGGCTCCTTGTACGAGGCAAAACTGCCATTGAGGGGTCTATGCACTTGACCATACTTAAAAAGACCAGGGTCTTATTCTTTATGCACACATTTACCGTTTAATAAGTTATATCGTTCTCCTAATGTCAGTACTTTCTGCCGATCATCTTCCCAGGCCAGCCGCTGTCCCTGATGCACTGCCACCCTGTCATTGTGCTCCTTTTCACAATCTCTCAGTTCTGCAAATAAAAGCTGGAGTTCTTGCTGAATGGTGCTGTTCCCAAGGCTTGGGCTAAGTTTCTATGAAAGGTAACACATGGAACACATTTCAGCATAAAGAAGCAGCAACGAATCCTCTGATAATAAACTCGATGTTTTAATTTAAGAGAAAATATTTTTGTATTCTAAACAAGAGACCATTCCAAAAAGTTCCTCACGCTTGTGGTACCACCTGTGGTCCTTGACTGAAACCGTTAGCGGTACAATGAGTACTTTCACGTTAAAAATAGAGCGCTCTGATTGTTAACTGTACTTTCATGTTTTTACCTGCGGCGAAGCAGAATGCAGCAGTGATGAACTCCTGGGGGACGGGGGGACCGGAGCGCTACCAGGCATTCGTGTGTGCTGGTAACTATTAACGACCGTAAGATTCAGCACGGCGCTGCCTCCGATTGAAGCACCC